CTTTTCCTTTTCTTTCTTTCTTTTTTTTTTTTTTTTGAGATGAAGTCTCGCTCTGTTGCCCAGTCTAGAGTGCAATGACATGATCTCAGTTCACTGTAACCTTCGACTCCCAGGTTCAAGTGATTCTCCTGTCGCAGCCTCCCAAGTAGCTGGGACTACAGGCATGCGCCACCAGACCCAGCTAATTTTTTTATTTTTAGTAGAGATAGGGTTTCCCCATGTTGGCCAGGCTGATCTTGAACTCCTGACCTCAAGTGATCTGCCTGCCTCAGCCTCCCAGAGTTCTGGGATTATAGGCGTGAGCCACAGTGCCCTCCCAAGACCGTTTTTTTCTAAAGAAGACATACTAATGGCCAACAGGTAAATGAAAAGATACTCAACATCATTAATCTTCAGAAAAATGCAAAACAAAACCACAATGAGGTATCATCTCACACTGCTACCAAAAAGATAAGAGATAACAAGTGTTGGTGAAGGTGTGGAGAAAAGGAAACCCTCATAGACTATCAATGGGAATATAAATTGGTACAGCCATTATGGAAAACAGTAATAGAGGTTCTTCAAAAAATTAAAGGTAGAACTACCATATGACCTAGGTGGGTATGTACTCAAAGGAAATGAAATCAGCACCTGGTAGATATCTGTGCTCCTGTGTTCACTGCAGTATTATTCACAATAGACAAGTTATGGAAACAATGCATCAATTGACAGATGAATGAATAAATTGTGATATACACACACACATATACACAATGGAGTATTATTCCGCCTTAAAAAATGAGATACTGCCATTTGCAACTACGTGGATGAAACTAGAGAAGAACATCATACTCAGTAAAATAAGCCAGACACTGAAAGAACATACTGGATGATATCACTTATCTGTGGAAATCTCCAAAAAGTCTAACATATAGAAACAGAGAGCAGGCCAGGAGTAGTGACTCATACTTGTGATCCAAGCAGTTTGGGAAGCCACGGCAGGAGGACTGCTTGAGACCAGGAATTCAAGACCAGCCTAGGCAACATAATGAGACCCTGTCCTACAAAAAATGTAAAGAAAAATAGCTGGGTGTGGTGGTACACACCCTTAGTCCTAGCAACTTGAGAAGCTGAGGCGGGAGGATCACTTGAGCCCAGGAGGTAGCGGTTGCAGTGAGCTGAGGTCATACCACTGCACTCCATCTTAGGTGACAAAGTGGGACCCTGGCTCAAAAAATAGAATAAAATATAATAAGGAGACATGAAAAAAACACACACAAAAAAACATGGGTTTAACTGTCTTTTAGTCCATTTGCATTGCTATAAAGAAATATGTGAGGCTGGGTAATTTATAAAGTAAAGAGTTTTACTTGGATCACAGTTCTGTAGGCTGTACAAGAAACATGCCACTAGCATCTGCTTCTGGCAAGGACCTCAGGAGGTTTCCAATCATGGCAGAGGCAAAGGGGGAGCAAGTATGTCACATGGCAAGAGAGAAGGAAAGTGTGCCAAATTCTTTTAAGCAACCAATTCTTGCTTGAACTAATAAGGCAGGAACTCACACATTACCTCTGAGACAAGGATGGCACCAGCCCATTCATGAGGGATCTGTCTCATGACCCCCAACACCTCCCACCAGGACCCCCTGTCTAACACTGGGACGTGAGATTAGAGGGGAACAAATTTTGACATAAAATTTGGAGGGGTCAAATATCTCAACCATATTAAACCACAAAAGCAGTTTCCTTATTATGCCTAAATCAACTGTTAACAACTCGATGATATAGAAATAAACTTTATATATAACATTATATGTATCCTGACAGCATTCTGGGCACCCATCCTAACTAAGCCTGGTTTGAATTATATTTATTTAGAAACTATCAAAATTTTTTCCAAATGTTGAAATTTCTGACAAAGCAACATTTATATAAGGAATATAAGGAAATGTTTAAAATATAATTTAAAACAAAACAAAACAAACTAGCATTGTCTCCTTCATAAAATGCTTGACAAATTTCACAATAACTTCTTGCCTTTAATTACCAGCAGTACATAGGGAACAAAGGTTTTCTTTTTTTTTTTTTTAAATAGAGATGAGCTTTCACCATGTTGATCAGGCTGGTCTTGAACTCCTGACCTCGAGATCCACCCACCTCGGCCTCCCAAAGTGCTGGGATTACAGGCGTGACTGACGGCGCCCAGCCAGGAACAAAGGTTTTCAACGTTGAGGACTTCCAAAATGTACTCCAGGTACCACCAGGTAAAGATGAGGAAGCAGCTTACTTCTACTCAGTGTTTGTGTAAAACAAAAAATCATTTTTTATGACCTATGTATTTAGTTTCATTTATGATCCATTTTTTAATTAAAAAGTACCACTCTGGCCAGATGTGGTAGCTCATACTTGTAAAACCCAGCACTTTGGGAGGCTAAGACAGGAGGATTGCTTGAGCCTATGAGTTCAAGACTAGCCTGAGCAACATAATGAGAGTTCATCTTTACCGAAGGGAAAATAAATTAGGTGGGTGTGGTGGCACATGCTTGTAGTCCCAGGTACTCGGCTAGACTAGGCTGAGGTGGGAGGATCACTAAAGCCCAGGAGGCAGAGGCTATAGTGAGCCGTGATCACACCACTGCACTCCAGCCTGGACAACAGAGCAAGACTCTTTCTTAAAAAAAAAAAAAAACCCACTTCTCTTTTAAAAAGGGGAGAAAGTTTCATTATTGAGGGGAAACAACAAGGATTCTGAAGTCCAAAAGATGAGCCTATATAGATTCTGGGAAAGAAAGACTGGTGCAATTCAGGAAGAGAAAGAAGAGATTTTTCACTTTTAATTTATATGCATTTGGACCCCGTGTGGTGGCTCACGCCTGTAATACCAACACTTTGGGAGGCCGAGGCGGGCAGATTACCTGAGGTCAAGAGTTTGAGACCAACCTGGCCAACATGGTGAAAACCTGTCTCTACTAAAAATACAAAAAACAGCCATGCATGGTGGCAGGTGCTTGTAATCCAAGTTACTCAGGAGGCTGAGACAGGACAATCGATTGAACCCAGGAGGGTGAGGTTGCAGTGAGCCGAGATCGTGTCATTGCACTGCAGCCTGGGCAACAAGAGCAAAACTCTGTCTCAAAAAAATAATAATAATAAACAATAATAATAATAAATTTATGCTCAAATGACCAACAGTTAATAGTTAATATGCTGATAACTATGCACATATTCTTAACGGTTTTGCAGCAAACTAATATTAGCAAATAAATATTGGCAAACTAAATCCAATAGTACATTAAAAGGATTATATACCTTGACCAAGTGGCATTTATCCTAAGACTGCAAAGGTGGTTGGGTGTCTTAAAAAAATAAACCAATCGGCCGGGCACGGTGGCTCACGCCTGTAATCCCAGCACTTTGGGAGGCTGTGGCAGGCAGATCAAGAGGTCAGGAGATCGAGACCATTCTGGCAAACGTGGTGAAACTCCATCTCTACTAAACATACAAATATTAGCCGGGCATGGTGGCACATGCCTGTAATCCCAGCTACTCAGGAGGCTGAGGCAGGAGAATCACTTGAACCAGGGAGTCAGAGGTTGCAGTGAACCAAGATCACGTCACTGCACTCTAGTCTGGTGACAGAGTGAGACTCCTTCTAAAAAAAAAAAAAAACAAAATAAAATAAACCAATCAATGTAAATATACATTAATAGAATGAAGGGGGTGAGACATGACCTCAATTAACTCAGAAGAGGCATCTGAAAAAATCAAACACCCTTTCATGATAAAAATACTTAGAAAACTAGAAATACAAGATAATTTCCTCAAAATGATAAAGGGCATCTATGTAAAACCCTTATCTAACACGCTCAGTGGTGAAAAACTGAAAGCTTTCTCCCTAAGATCAGGAACAAAATAAGGATACTATCACCATTTCCATTCAACACTGTACTGGCCAGAAGAAAACCAGTTTTAATAATAAAGTTCGCCTGGGAGTGGTGGCTCACGCCTATAATCCTAGTACTTTGGGAGGCTGAGGAAGGAGGATCACAAGGTCAGGAGTTCCAGAACAGCCTGTGAAACCCCTTCTCTACTAAAAATACAAAAACTAGCCATGCACAGTGGCAGGTGCCTGTAATCCCAGCTACTCAGGAAGCTAAGGCAGGAGACTCACTTGAACCAGTGAGGGCAGGGGGAAGCGGGGAGCAAAAGTTATAGTGAGGGGAGATCGTGCCACTGCACTCCAGCCTGGACGAAAGAGCGAGACTCCATCTCAAAAAATAAATACATAAATAAATAATAAAGTTCTAGGAAGAACAATTAGACAAGAGAAAGAAAAAGCATCCAAATTGAAATGTTATTTTGATTTGCCAACAACATAATCCTATATATAGAAAAATTCCAAAGAGGTCAGGTGCGGTAGCTCACGCCTGTAATCCCAGCACTCTGGGAGGCCCAGGTGGGCGGATCACTTGAGGCCGGGAGTTTGAAACCAGGCAGGGCAACATGGTGAAACCTCATCTCTACTAAGTAAACCACAAAAGTTAGCCGGGTGCGGTGACGCACATCCGTAATCCCAAGTAATGAGAATGGCTTTAGCCCAGGAGGCAGAGGCTGCACTGAGCCTAGACTGCACCACTGCACTCCAGCCTGGGTGACAAAGAGAGACCCTGTCTCAAAAACATAAATAAAATAACTTAAAATAAAATTTAAGTAGTTATGTTTCTATGCATCTGCAATGAATAATCTGAAAAAGAAATTGGGATTGCAATTTCATTTAACATCTGAAAGAACAATAACATCTAAAAGAGTATCTAAAAAGAGATTTAACCAAGGAGGTGAGTTTTACCCTGAAAACTACAAAACGCTCAAGAAAATTTAAAATAACCAAAATAAATTAAAAGCCATACTCCATTCTTGGGTAGGAAGACTTCATATTGTTAAGATGTCAGTACTACCTAGAGCAATGTACAAATTCAACACAATCCCTATCAAAATTTCAAAATCCTTTTTTTGCAGAAATGGAAATGCTAACTCTCAAATTCACAGAGCTGCAAGGGAACATGGAAAACCAAAACAATCAAGAAGAAAAAGGTCGGAACACATACTTTCTGATTTCAAAACTTACTACAACGCTACAGTAATCAAAATAGTATGCTACTGAAAAAAGGATAGACATATATATAGATCAACAGCATAAAACTGAGAGTACCAGAATAATCTGATACATCTACGGCTAACTGATTTTTTATAATGGTGCCGAGTCCATTTACTGGAGAAGTAAGGGTCTGCTCAACACATGGTGCTGGGACAACTGGATTTCCACATGCAAAAGAATGATGCTGGACTCCAAACTCATACCAAATACAAAAATTAACTGAAAATGTATCAATGACCTAAATTTAAGAACTAAAACCATAAACCTCTTAGAAAAAAACACAAGGGCAAATCCTCATGACCTTGGATTTAGCAATCAATTCTTAAGATCAGACACAAAAAGCATAAGACAATGAAAGAAAAAAAGAGATAAATCTGACTTCATCAAAATTAAAAACTTTTGTTCATCAGAGGACATTATCAAGAAACTAAAAAGATAAACTTTAAGCAAACCAACTAGGATGGGATTAAAAAAAAAAAAAAGAAAATAGTAAGCATGGGCAAGGAGGTAGAGAAACTGACCTTTGTACCTTGCTGGTAGGAATGTAAAATATTGCAGCTTCTGTGAAAAACAATATGGCAGTTCCTCAAGAAGCTAACCACAGCTAATTACCAAATAATCCAGCTATTTCATTTCAAGGAACATACCCAAAAGAACTGCAAATAGGGTAATTGTATGCCAATATTCACTTCAGTATCCAGTTTAGCCAAAAGGTGCAAGTGTCCACCTGAATAAATACAAAATTACTGAGTGTTAAAAGGGAATGAAATTCTAGTACATACTGCAACACAGATGAACCCTGAAAATATTACGCTAAATGAAAGGAGTCAGACACAAAAATACAAATATTTTATCATTCCACTCAAACGAAATATCTAGAATAGGTAAACTGATGGAGACAGAAAGTAGATTAGAAGTTACTAGGGACTGGGAGAGAACAGATGGTAGTAATGGTTGCACAACATTGCACAACAAAGGCACTCAATTACAAATTTAAAGTGGTCAAAATGGCAAATTTAATGTTATGCAAATATATTTTACCACAATAAAAAAAGTCAAAGAAAAAATTATATGTTCCATAGAAATCAGCCCTACCAAGGCTCTTAAACAAAACACCTGTGAATTATCACTAAGTGCATTCCATTACAAATTACTGAGCCATACATAGAAAATAATTGTTCCAGGAATTTAAAAAGAATAACTGGCCAGGCACGGTGGCTCACGCCTGTAATCCCAGCACTTTGGGAGGCAGAGGCAGGTGGATCATGAGGTCAGGAGATCTAGACCATCCTGGCCATGGTGAAATCCCATCTCTACTAAAATACAAAAAAAAAAATTAGTCAGGCATGGTGGCACACGCCTGTAGTCCCCAGCTACTCAAGAGGGAGAATCGCTTGAATCTGGGAGACAGAGGTTGCAGTGAGCCGAGATTGTGCCACTGTACCCCAGCCTGGCGAAAGAGCAAGACTTCGTCTCAAAAAAAAAAAACAACAACTGAGGACCAACCTTCAGCAGGGCTATGGCTACCATCTTCTCTCTCGCAGGCATCTCAGGGCTGCCAGCCTGGACCTTGCAGCCAGTGGATTCAAGTTTGAAATATGGCAACTTTGAAAGATATTACTGGGCAACTAAAGTCCATCAAAAACATCCAGAAAATTACCAAGTCTATGAAAACGGTAGCAGCAGCAAAATATGCCCGAGCTGAGAGAGAGAGAGCTGAAACCAGCTCGAATATATGGATTAGGATCTTTGGCTCTGTATGAAAAAGCTGATATCGAGATGCCTGAACACAAAAAGCAATACCTCCTTATTGGTGTGTCCTCAGATCAAGGACTGTGTGATGCTATTCATTCCTCCATTGTTAAATAGATGAAAAGTGAGGTTGCTACACTAACAGCAGCTGGGAAAGAAGTTATGCTTGTTGGAATTGGTGACAAAATCAGAGGCATACTTTATAGGACTCATTCTGACCAGTTTCTAGTGGCATTTAAAGAAGTGGGAAGAAAGTCTCCTACTATTGGAGATGGCATCAGTCATTGCCCTTGAATTACTAAATTCTGGATATGAATTTGATGAAGCCTCCATCATCTTAATCGATTCAGGTCTGTCATCTCCTATAAGCCAGAAGAAAAGCCCATCTTTTCCCTTAATACCATTGTAAGTGCTGAGAGCATGAGCATCTACAATGATATCGATGCTGATGTGCTGCAAAATTACCAAGAATACAATCTGGCAAACATCATCTCCTACTCTCTGAAGGAGTCCACCAGTAGTGAGCAGAGTGCCAGGATGACAGCCATGGACAATGCCAGCAAGAAGGTTTCGAGATGACTGACAAATTGACATTGACATTCAACCATACCCACCAGGCTGTCATCACAAAAGAGTTGCTTGAAACTATCTCTGGTGCTATAGCTCTGGATTAACGAAAATCGAGTTCCTTCCTCAGACAAGAGGTAAAGAAGGAAAATTCAGCCAGCTGATTTTGTTTTTAGCTTACTGCTGTCTTTGTCTGAAGAATCTGTTCCTCCATTGTTTGAATTACTGAAGACAGCAGGATATTTGTAAATTATCTTGCAATAAACAACTTAAAATAAGAAAAAAATAAAAATAATTGAAATTTAAGTTAGCTTACTACAAAAAGTTTGTATCAATTAAAAACACCTTGTGTTTTGTCAAGACTTGTTTTTTATTATTTTTTTTAATCCTGAACTTTTTTTTAAAATAGATATCTATTTTTAATAGACATGTTACCCAGGCTATCTTAAACTCCTGGTTTCAAGCTGCTGCAGCTTCCTGAAGTGCCGTGATTACAGCCGTGAGCCACCAAGGCTGGCTGCCAAACTACTGTCTATATACTAAGATTGACAGTATTTACAGTTGGGCTGCTTAACTCATATGGACAGATTACAGACTTTTTTTTAATCACCACATATCAGTTTCATAAAAGCAGTAACTGTTTTGTTTTCAAATTTTAGATCCATGCTTGCCATACAAATAAGTGCTTAACTAATTTGGTAAATAAAATCAAACCAATGGCCGGATGCAGTGGCTCACGCCTGTAATCCTAACACTTTGGGAGGTCGAGGTTGGTGGATCATCTGAGGTCAGGAGTTCGAGACCAGCCTGACCATCACAGCGAAACCCCATCTCTATTAAAAATACAAAAAATTAGCCAGGCATGGAGGCTGAGGTAGGAGAATCACTAGAATCTTGGAGATGGAGGTTGCAGTGAGCCAAGAGCGCATTATTGCAATCTGGCCTGGGCTAGTGAGAGTTTAAGAATATGTATGGATTGTCATTCAATGTCAATTTAAGATAATGACTTCTTGGTCTCTTGAGGCTAATGGTGAAGGTGCATGTGATAGATATTTTTATGTAATATGGGTATGAGCAAGACTCTGTCTCAAAAAAAAAAAAAAAAGGTAAAAATCAGGCTGGGCATGATGGCTCACGCCTGTAATCCTAGCAATTTGGGAGGCCCAGGCGGGTGAATCTCCTAAGCCTAAGAGTTTGAGATCAGCCTGGGCAACATGGTGAAACCCTGTCTCTAACAAAAAATGCCAAAAACTTAGCCAGGTGTAGTGGTGCATGCCTGTGGTCCCAGCTACCTGGGAAGCTGATGTGAGAGGTTCACTTGAGCCTAGCGGGCAGAGGCTGCAGTGAGCCAAGATTGTGCTGCTGCACTCCAGCGTGGGTAACAGAGTGAGACCTTGTCTTAAAAAAAAAAAAATCAGCATGAAAATAGCATTAAAGACTCTTTTCTCAAATCACCTTCCTCTTACAGTTTAAAACAAAAATTTTTTAAAGTAACATCTGAATAATTCAGGGTACATAAAACCCAATCTTTAAATAACTTATTTTTTTCCCATGTGTATCTCCCTTCCCAACTCCAATAGGAAGTTACCAGAATTTGACTTTCTGAGGAATTTCATTCACTGTTTTGCGCCCATCTGCCTATGAGGTAGCTCAGACTAGCAAGAAAAGCCAACAAGGAGTCATCTTCATGGCCACATGGTGGGACTATTCAGAAACTTCCTGCTGGTTTGCCTCAAGTACTCCTGGCTCACTAGTTTATAGAGTAATAATTTGGGGTATTACTTGAATTGTTTTCTTTTGTCTTACTGTTCTGCTTGTGGTTTTGAATATTAAAGATTTAATTACATAAACACTAAATATGAATGCAAAGTTTATACAATTAGCTACTGAAGTAAATTATGTACCATTAATTTCAATGAAAATTAAGTTCTGACTTTTAAGAATTCACCTTGGGCCAGGTGCGGCACTCATGCCTGTAATCCAAGCACTTTAGGAGGCCGAGGGGGCAGATTACGAGGTCAGGAAATCGAGCCCATCCTGGCTAACACAGTGAAACCCTGTCTGTTAAAAAATACCAAAAATTAGCTGGCCGTGGTGGCACATGCCTGAAGTCCCAGCTACTTGGGAGGCTGAGACAGAAGAATCGCTTCAACCCAGGAGGCAGAGGTTGCAGTGAGCCATGACTGTGCCATTGTACTCCAGCTTGGGCAACAGAGCAAGACTTTGTCTCAAAAAAAAAAAAAAAAAAAAATTCACCTTAAGACACCCCCCTCTTTTTATTTTTAAGCACAGGGGCTTTTCTTGGAACAAATTACCCACCTGAAATGGGGAAAAACTATAATTTATCTCGAATCAGGCAATTCATAGTCAGAGATGACCCTGATTGGCCACAAGAATGAGCCTCTCAGCTCTCTAACTACAGGAAGCATAATAGATTGAGTGCTGCAGCAGCTGCACTCAAATCCAACACTGTGTTTATACCGAGGCTGTGCTTCTCACTTAGCTCCTCCCAGTCACTGACAAAGCTCGGCAGGCATACCAGGCAGTCCTATTCCTGGGAGACACATTATTCTTGTGATAGGCAACTTAAACTCAAAAACTTCCTGAGGCCTTGCAAAGCTTCCTTAGTACTGCACTGCAGTCTAAGACACTTTCACCCGAAGTTCCTTCCTTCCTTACCTCTCTTTTAACTTGGAGTTGGACTTACATTACAGCCTGACAACTCTCCCTGTCTGCTTCCTTTTTCTCCCTCACAAACATTTCATGTAACAAATTTCTTATGTGCTTAATCCCATTTTAGCATCTGCTTCTAAGAGGTCCTGGACTAAAACAATGAAAAAAGCTCCCCTTGAAGCATCAAACTTTTTTAAAAAGCTAGCCATCTTACATGAACTATTTTGAAAATATAGTATTTGCTTCCCTATTTCCTAAAATAAAATATACTAAACATGCCTTTTAACTGGTGAAGATCTCAAGTAAAACCTACCTAACTCATTGGTAGTGTATTCTTGAGGGGACAGACAGAACCATATGCAATTCGACAGCTATATATAGAGCACCTGCTATACAAGAGAAATATGCTAAGTACTACAAGGAATACAAAGCTAAGCAGTAATCTATTCTTCCCATGAAGGAACTGCCAATCTAAAAGGGGGGAAAAAATACAGGTGCAAACAGACTTTAAAAGGCAAAATGTCATTAAGTGCTAAAATTAAGGTGTAAGTACCTGGGTATGAAAAGATTCACTCCACTTAGGGGACAGAGTTGTAGCAGAAAGCTTTGTGGAGGAGCTGGTGTTTGAAATGTACTTTAGAGTCATCCTCAGAGCCTTCAGGCTATACCTACCTGTGATTATCAAGGACAGTCCAAACAGGCCTTCCATGCTTGGATATCCACCAGAGTAAATCCCTCCTATAACAATTCTCTCACACCCTCTTCTCCAGAATACTGACGGTTTCTTAGTTCCCCTCCAAACCTGACACTCTCCCGATATTCCCCCTTTCATCACCATCTCCACTTAGACCCCTCAGTCAGAAACCTGGGAATCCAGGCCAGGCACAGTGGCTCATGCCTGTAATCTCAACACTTTGGGAGGCTGAGGAGGGTGGATCACGAGGTCAAGAGATCGAGACCATCCTGGCCAACATGGTGAAACCCTGTCTCTACTAAAAATACAAAAAATTAGCCGGACATGGTGGCACATGCCTGTAATCCCAGCTACTTGGGAGGCTGAGACAGGAGAATTGCTTGAACCCAGGAGGCGGAGGTTGCGGTGAGCTGAGAATGCGCCATTGCACTCCAGCCTGGGCAACAAGAGCGAAACCCCGTTTCAAAAAAAAAAAAAGAAACCTGGGAATCCCCTGATTCCTCTCACTGCCTAGCTCAATTCAATCACCAATCTACCTCTAAATCCCTCTAATTAATTTGTCCACTTTTCTCTATCCCCACAGCTATTGCTCTGGTAAAACCTACCTATCATCCCTTCCATGAACTACTGCAAAATCTCCTAACTGGCTTTCCTGCCTACACTTCGGTTCCTATTTAATCCATGCTCCATACAGTCTACAGTGATTCTTCAAAATTCATGTGTGTCAGCTCCCTGCTTAAAACCCTGCAGTTGCTCCCCACTGCTGACAAGATAAAATGCAATAATTTGATCCATAAGATCTGGCCCCACACTCCAGACTTCAGCTATTCAGAACTCCAAAAATGCTGAGTTCTTCTTGGCCTCTAAGCTACCACAAATCCTTGGAATTTATTTCCTCCTAATCCTTAATTGGCTAACTCCCACTTCCATTAATTGATTGATACATTCATTCACCCATTTATGGTCCCACTTCCATTTAAATAGTCACTTCTGGCCAGACAGTGGCTCACTCCTGTAATCCCAGGGCTTTGGGAGGCCAAGGCAGGAGGATCACTGGAAACCAGAAGTGTGAAACCAGCCTGAGTAACATAGTGAGACCCTGTCTCTACAAAAAAATTTTCTAAAAATTACCCAGGAGTGGTGGTGAACACCTGTAGTCCTAGCTACCTGGGAGGCTGAAGTGCAAGATCTCTTGAGCCTAGGAGTTCAAGGTTACAGTGAACTATGATTATGCCACTGCAACCCAGCCTGGGTAACAGAGCAAGACCCAATCTCCTTTAAAAAAAAAAATCATATGGGCTGGATGCAGTGGCTCATATATGTAATCCCAGCACACTGGAAGGCTGAGATAGGTAAACTGCTTGGGCTCAGGAGTTAGATATCAGCCTAGACAAAAAGGGAGAAACCTCATCTCTACCAAAAATACAAAAATTAGCTGGGTGTGGTAGCATGTGTCTGTTGTCCCAGCTACTCAGGAGGCTACTGTGGGTGGATTGCTGAAGCCCAGGAGGTTGGGGCTGCAGTGAGCCACCACTGCTCTACTGTACTCCAGCCTGGGTGACAGATTGAGAACCTATCTCAAAAAAGTAAAATAAAAAAATAAAATAAATTTTATGTCAGCCAGGCGCAGTGGCTCACACCTATAATTCCAGCACTTTGGGAGGCTAATCAGGCAGATCACCTGAGGTCGGGAGTTCGAGGCCAGCCTGACCAACATGAAGAACTCCCTCATCTCTACTAAAAATACAAAATTAGGCGTAGTGGCACATGCCTGTAATCCCAGCTACCCGGGAGGCTGAGGCAGGAAAATCGCTTGAACCAGGGAGGCAGAGGTTACAGTGAGCCGAGATGGCGCCATTCACTCCAGCCTGGGCAACAAGAGCAAAACTCTGTCTCAAAAAATAAAATAAATTATATGTCACTTCCATCACTTCCAAACATAAGCATACAAGGACAGTCTCCTAACTTCTCACTGCCACCCAAAGACCAATAC